TTTAATAACAAAAAGTTACCTTGTATGATAAAACTCATTTGTGCAGATGCACCAGCAAAATCGTTCATTTTAAATGTCAAAGGACATACTGGGTACTCAAGTTGTACAAAATGCTGGGATGAAGGTGAATATTGTGAACGAAGAATTTGTTTTTCAGATAAGGCAGGAAAAGAAAGAACCGATCATGAAATTTTTTTAAAGACTGATGAAAATTACCATTTAGGTGCTAGCGCTCTTGATGAAATTCCATTATTAGGCCTTGTTACCAATGTGCCTTTAGACTATTTGCATTTAATTTGCTTAGGTGTTGTTAAAAAGCTAATAAATTTATGGTTTTGTGATAGCCTTAAAGTGAGATTGCAATTCCGAAAAATTAAAATAATTTCAAATTTATTAAAAAACAATATACACCCATATGTGCCTTTAGAATTTCAAAGGAAACCTAGAGCATTAGAGTGTTATAAGCTTTGGAAAGGAACCGAGTTTAGACAGTTTTTGCTGTACAGTGGCCCAGTCGTCTTAAAAAATGTTTTGTCTGATGAAGTATACAATCATTTTATGACTTTACATGTTGCAATCACTATTCTTTCTTCAAACAATTTATGCAAGGAAGCACCAAATTTACTATATGCCCACCAGCTACTTCAACATTTTGTTACATCTTTTAAGACTATTTATGGACATCACCACATCTCACATAATGTTCATGGTCTACTTCATATAGTCCAAGATGTAAGAAACTTTGGATCATTGGATATGTTTAGTACTTTCAAATTTGAAAATTTTATGCAAAAAATAAAAAAATTTTACGGAAAGATGACAAGCCTTTACAACAAATTGCTCGAAGGATTTTTGAGATCACATGTTTTCGCGAAGAAGAAACTATGTCTTTTTTATATAATGATAACATAAGTTTTAAAAACCCTCATACTAATGGTCCTCTTTTAAATAGTTGTCCAGATTTTCAATTTTCAACTTTATTATTTAAAAATATGACATTTAAAATTCAAACAAAAGCAAATAATATTTGTGGTCTTACTTCAGGAAAAATAGTTATCATTGAGAATATAATATGCTCCAAAGTAAATAACGAAAGTTACATAATCGGTAAAGAATTTTTGGAAATGAAACCATTGTATACTGAACCTTGTGTATCTTCTCATTTGGGTATTTTTATGGTTTCAAATCTTTCTATGAGAAAAATATGGCCCTTAAATAATGTTAACACAAAATACTTTTTGTGTGAAATTAATTTGGAATGTTTTGCTGCCTTTCCACTTTTACATATTGACAATGATGAAAGACCAATCTTATGAAATTTAAATTACTAACAAAAGCTTAATTCATGAGGTTAGAATGTTTTTATACTACCTATTTAACATTATTTATTTATTTACTATTATACAACTTATGATCTTTAGAAAAATGTTTTTATAAAAGACATTAAATTGATTAAGAGTAATATTTCTAGGAATTACGTAATTGTTGAATTTGTTGATGGTGTTCAACTAGTTCCACACAATTGGATATCATCTAACCAGACAGAAACATTTTACCCAGAAAATATAAACTCCAGGAAATATGACAAACTGGTCCTTAATACCGTTCCATATGAGTCTTCATGGAAAACATTTTCTATAAAAAAAATTTGGGGTTCTTCTGGTATTAAAAATTATATTATTGTCCATTATACAAATACCTAATGAATTGTTGTTTTTATTACTATTTAGATAACTTTATTAGGGCAAAACAAAAGTTAAAAATTGCTTTGCAATTATCTGAAGCTGAAGACTTAAATTCTGAGATCGATGAAGTGCTTGCAAAAAAAAAAACGGAGAGAGCTTGCTAATAAAAGGGTGAATAGACAGAGTATATTATCGCCCAAAATAATAAAAAGTCAAACTTCAAAATTATCTAATTTTTCTATTCCACCACTTCCAAAAGATCCATTTAAGTCATTACCTCGTAAGTATTATGAACAATTACATTATTCTGTTTAATTTAATTATGTTTTTTATATAACTATCATATTTTTTTAGTTGTCATAACACAAAAAAGAAAAATCTATAATTTGCAGTCTAACAAGTTTAAACATTCACCTAAAGAAAAAAATTGTAAAAAATTAGATGAAGTGTCAATGGCTAGTCACAAAAATGTTAGAAAGAATACTAGAGGTAAAATATATAGCAATATATTCTTAGTAAATATCATAAAAAATTATATTTTTACTATAATTTAGTTCCTATAAATTTTTCTAGATAACGAATCTTGCAGAAAAAATATTGGACATTTATACTCCCCTTCTACAAGTCAACAAGATTGGTCGGTTGATAGGACATTTATTGATGAAAATACTGAAGGTAATACAAGCATTAAAATAGTTAAAAAAAGACAGTTAAAAATCTAAACAACTGTTAATATGCATAATTTCTGCTTTTAATTAATTGCACAATCTGAATAAAAATATTGGTAATTCTCCTTCTTCAAGTACCCAAAATTCATTTCCAAATAACAAAAACAATTTGTACACAAATCATTTAAAATTATACTCGCCTAAAACCAAAAATGCTGGTATGCCTACTTTGTCAAAAAACCTAAATACTAAGAGTAGTAGTAGTAGAATCCATAGCTATATCTAAACTCTGCTATTTATTTAACTTGATATTTATTAAAAATTTATAGAAAATGATTTGATGGCATCTCCTCCAATGTTTAGTCCAATTAAAAGTGGTCTAAAAAGAAGTATTTTTGATATGACACCGCAAAAACCGGTAAAAAATGTTGCCGTGAGAAAACTGTTTTCTTCAACACAGTACAATTCCGATACATCAAAAATAGATAGTGAAGCTATTGGTAAAGAATTGTATTTTTAAATTATCCCTTACATATTTATTTAATCTTATATTAATAATCTTTATAGCAAATTGTCTGATGGCAACTCCTTCAAAATTGAATGATAGCCCAGTAAGTTTAACAGGCCTTTTTCAAAGCACACCAGAATCTGCTCATAAAAATGTAACACCTGTATCAGTCAGTCAACTAATGTCTTCGACAACACAGTCTGAGACATTCTCAAAAGACAGTGAAGCTAATGGTAAAGAATAATTATATCATAAATATTATTATACACCTGACCTATTTTAAAAATAAAATATGTTTTGGTATATAAGTATATTTTATCAATTTCAATTGCATTATACTAATTTTATGTTTTCAGTTAACCATGGTTGTATTTTAAAATTTATTACCTCAACATTACCACAGCTTAATACAAAATTAAATAAAATTATTTTAAATCAGTCCAAACATGAAGAATTGCTAAAAAAAATTTTACAAAATAAAACAGTGCACGATGAGAGCTTTTATGACAACACGGATTTAGAGGAATTTCCATTACATAATTTAGATTCCTTAAAAGAAATAGATGGAAAACTAAAGTCAGATACATTATTTTACAAATGTTTGGTAATAAGGCTTATAAAACGTTAAATTACTATTATTTATAAACAGCATATTATATTTTTTTCCCTAGGTAAAACGATTGAAAGAATTTGGTGGTAATAATGTGTATATGGTGACCAAATGCATTATGGACTTCTTGATGACTGATAATTTAGGGATGCAAATATCTTTGACAGGACGTGGAACAAATAATAAGAAAAATGAAAAAATGTCACTTATTGCATTAACAATGTTTAAATTGATAACACGTAAGTTGAATTTTTATTATAACATTATTAACTTTTATTGTTAAGAACACATTATTATTACTGTTAATACTTTATATTGGGTAATTGATTACCCACCCATTTTTTGTTTTTATTTCTTGTCATATTATTTAACTTGTTAGTAATGAATTTGATGTTTATGAGTGTTATTAATTGATAATTGTATGAAAATATAATATGATGGAATTCCATTTGAAGTGTATATTATAATTTATAATAACACAGATACTTCATTTTCATCTCATTTGTTTTTTGTCATTTCTACTTACTTTTTATATTAACACTATATTATTTATATTTTAATTTAATCAACACAAATTGGATAAGTGTATATTTTTGAGAGAAAGTATTGGATTAACAGTATGCTAATATTTTGATAATAATTATGATTTAACTATAATTACATTTTCTTATGTAAATTTGTAATTTAAATGCAGGGGTAATATTGAAAAATGTATCCGGCTCAACAATTACTAGTATTAATAAAGCGGTTACTGGGTGGTTAAAACATGCCAAGGAAAGTAATGGACGAAGAGAATCATCATCGTAGTGCAATTAGTCATTGTTTTTAGCCGATATGTTGATATTACAATAAAATAAAAGAAAATATTTACAATTTACTACAATTTAAATCTGTTTATTAAAAATGAATTGATTTACCCACAAATTATATAAGTACCTTTATATTTTGTTTAAAAATCTTTGGAAAGAAAAATAGTTGTTAATTTTTAAAATTTATGAAGGCTTAAAATAATTGAATGGGGTTATGTTAAAATCCCTATTGACAATAAGCTTTACTCATCTAATTATAAATAATTAAAAATGTAAATGTATTTTTTACAAATTACAACACTTAATTAGTAAGGTTGACTCCTCAATAGAACATAAATAAGGGATACCTATATTATTCCAGTAGATTTTTTGGATCTAAAATGAATTCCTTACAAGACTCATACAGGAACTATTGAGACCTTATTGGGATATATTTATAATCTTTTCAAGAAGTTTCCAGGACCTTAATAGACTGCAAACAGGAATATAATGGGAAATATACAGACCATAATGGTCCATGTTGTATCACCGGCCTAATTGGTTCCTGGCCGGCAGTCTTGTGGAAAGTCTGAACCCGGACATTAGGAATCCTACAGACCGCCTAAGACCTACCCAGACCGGTCTGGGATTTAAACAGGTATTTCCTATTAAGAGTCTCAGAGTTTCAAAAATCAGTCCCAAGACCTTCCTGGGAAGGTCTATGTGTTGTTAGGGATGACCCATAGTAAACTGTGACATGTGATGGAATTAACATATTAGACTAAACTCAATTCTTAATTTATGTAAAACTAACGTGTAATACGTAATTGTTAATAAAAAGTTTATCCAATATTTATCGTATGAATAATTTCTTAATCATATATCTTTGTATAGGTTATTATGTATACTTACAATTGGTGCTGTGGGACAACAACCATTTACTAATGAAGATTTTAAAAACGAAACAACAATCTTTTTCGAAAATCAAGGAGAACTGCGAATTGTAGGAGCACATTGGGAACTAGTCACTTATGTACCATTAGTAAATTATGATAATAGGTATAATCAGTTAGCAAATGAAATTTTGAATATGACCAGTCATTGTAAAGATTTATTATCTGAATACGAAATATGTTCAAGATTTTCAAATATATTAAAATCAACGTTTATAGAAATAGCTTCACAAAGGGAGCAAATGTATGAATCCATTGGCAGGTATAATAGTACTAATGAAAGTATGAAGGAAGGAAACACTGTAGTTATTAGGAATAAAAGAGGTTTAGTAAACATAATCGGAACAGCTATGAAAACTTTATTTGGTGTATGTGATGATGAATGTACAAAAGAAAATAATGAAAATATTCAGAAAATAGAAAATAGTAATGTTAACATGTTACATATATTAAAAAATCAAACCACTGTAGTAAAATCTGCAGTACAAGGAATAGGTAGTGCCTCTATAGAAATGAATAAACTATATATTGAATTAGGTGAAAAACAAGGTATGTTATATAAAAAATTTAATGAAGCAGCTAACCACACACATACTGTGGAAACGTTAGTATTAAGTAATAGAATACATAGTATTTTTACTGCTCTATTAACACAATTTTCTTATGAGACCACAACTATAAGTGCTATAATAACTTCGGCGAGAACAGGAATATTACATCCAAGTCTAGTAACTCCTAGGGAATTAGCTAAACAATTAACACAAATTAAATTAAATTTGCCAATCAATTTAAATTTACCCATGGGAACACAGCCTAGCGAAATTTATGAATTAAGTAAAATAACTAAAATGGCGGTGTACTATAGCGGTAATCAAATAGTATTTTTGATAAAAATTCCATTAGTAACCGAACTTGAATTAACTTTATATAAAATCTTACCAATACCACATAGATTTAATAAAAATCACATTATAGTATTAAAACCTGAATTTCAATATGTAGGAATAACGAAAAATAGCTAACTAAAAAAAAACTACTTTTACAGAAACACAGTTATTAAGTTGCACTGAAACGGAATTATTTAATATATGTCCAGAGTTTCAACCAATACAATACGAATCGGTTAGACAACCATGTGAAATATCTTTATTTAAAAATCCAGAAGTTTTACCAAGCAATTGTGAAGCTGGAGTCATAATAATTACCAAAAATATATATCATAAATTAAAATATTCAAACACTTGGTTTTACACAACTATTAATGACACATTAACTATAACATGTCATCGGGAGACAGAACCGTATATACTAAAAATCCAAAATCAGGGACTAATTTATTTAAATCAGGATTGCAGAGCTTATGCCAATGACATAGTATTAAATCCAACTAGAGAAATTAAATCTAAATTCTATGTAAACTTCATACCTAAATTAAGCGAAGGTAGTTTGGCGATGAAAATTCCTAAAGCTATACCAGCTTTGGAAATGCCTAAATACAAACATAAGAACGATTTATTAAAATTAGATAATATTCATGAATTAGCTCATTCCCTAGATGACATACAACTTATGGTAGACAATGAGTTGGATAGACAAAATGGACGTGTTCAAACTAATCATCATTATTTAATATATGCTATAATAGGACTATTGTTGTTCTCCTTCATACTGATATTAATCTTATATGTAATGTATAAATGTAATATGGATTTAAAAAGAACGTATAGATCGCGACCAGNTAATTATAATTAATATAATAAAATATAATATTATAATTTATAATGAAAATTATGTTATCGGTTTATCAATGTTATCACATTTTGATAACTGCAAAAAAGGGGCTAAATGTAGGCAATATTATATACGGACACAAAAAATTTTTTCCTGCGAAGATCCATTCGTCAATAATGTGTTATAGTGATAAGGACGATTAGGTACTGAATGCTTAGATCATATACTTTGCTCATGCGCAGTGATGACTTCGGGCACGAACAGCTATGCTACAAGATTTTAAACCATAGCTCTATCCAGTGTATATGATCTAAGATGTTTGTTTATGATTATTGTATAAGGTCTATGAATAAAGTATAAGCTCAGATTATATCACGGTCTTAGAAGCTGATAAGGTCCGACAACCCTACCTTATCAGTGTTCCGCTTAATTGTGCAAATACGTTTAAAATGTTGCCACTGTAAAATTGAGCGCTGTCAGTTAAACGTTTTTTAGGTTAGGTTAAAACTTCACAAAATACAGATTACAGAACTATATACATATAGTATTTACTTTTTACAATATGCTAGTATATGAACTATGAAGTTATTGAGTCAGAAGTTATTCCATTTTCATGTTTTTTTTCGAACCGTTATTGCTGGTAAGCTTGAAATTACCTAACATTTTACCCAAAATAAATAATGTAACCCAAAAGTATGAAATAAGATCAAATGAAGATGTGTGCAATGCCTTTAGAGAACCTAATATAATTGGGGTAATTATAGTCAAAAGATTTAAGCTGGCTAGGTCACGTCCTAGGTCTAATCTATGATTGTAAAGGAGGCCCTAAGTTGAGAGACACGGAGATAAAGATCCTTAGGCAGATGTAAACAAATTGTTATTTTACTTACCGAGTATACAATATTTCCTACTTTAACCACTATATCATTTTGTTTTTTAATGATATCAACTGGAAAATGTTGTTCACAAATAATATCATTTATGTCCAAGTGATCAATGTTTAAAGCATTCAACCGTTCTTCATTTAAACTCTGATCTTTTGGCGTTACAAATACAGACAACATTTTAGTCTTATTACAGTTAAACCAACAAGTTTTATTAGGCATTATGAATTCAATTTGTATTATATAATAACTAATAAGTAGTAAAATTAAACAAAGGATTAAGGATTTTTAAAAAATGCAGGTTATATCATACAAATGTCATTTATTTTAAAAACACATGATTGTGTATAATAATATAGTAATACATTTTGTATTAATAAACAGTGGCTCCGAAGTGTTCAAAATATAGTATGGCATCGTACATTGTCCCCCCCCCATTTTTATAATTCAAGTATCAGATGCAAATCAAAGCATCTTTAAATAAGTATTACAATTTTTAATCATTAATTTTAATTTTTTTTTTTTTAATGCAATATTTACAATCTATACAAAAAGTAGTACAATACGTTAAATATGATAATAAGGTAGTATAATACATGACTTGAATGACTTGAGGAGGGAAAACCATCCATCAACAGTACCTCCTAATAATGATGGGTCCTCAATAGAGACCGTTTTTTTTTTTGTGTTAGGCAAGGGCGTCTCTTGATCATTTTCTTTTTAACCTTCTAAGAGGGTTGCTGGGGATGGTTAAAGAGGACATGCGAGAAATAAGAGGGTTTTGGTTTAGGTGTAGTTTGGAGTGAAATTTTTTGTAGTGACGAGTTGCTAATTCATTGACACTTGACAGTTGAGATTTGTAGATCCTTATGTAGTGCGTTGTTAGTTATATACCTGGGGGCTCCAGTTATTTGTCTAAGACATATGGATTGAAACGTTTGTAAGGGTCTTATATTGGATGGTTTGGCTTAGCCCCAGATATTTTAATATTTAAAAGTAAATTTTGGATGCAGTACTGGTACGGCGGGAGCCTCCCATCTGAAATATCTACTATGACAATATGACATAATATGTCAGATCCATTGCGTGATCGGCGCCACTGTTAATTTAAAACAAAATAAATATAAAAATAAAATGCTTAATATCAATTAAAGTTCAAATCCCCATAAAATTGTTCGGTAATTATTTGATAAGAAATTACTACGATTCCAAACCACAAAAACGTCTAACTAGTAGCGCTATTTCAAAATGTGGTTAAATTTTTAAACGTTTTCCAAGAAAAAAGCGGAGCATTGTCAATGGGCCGGTGGAGGGATGTGGTTATAGATAATAGATATAAGGATAGGCCATGGCTATATTAACACGGTATGGGGCGTAGTATTAGCATAGTATCAGGGGCGGATCTAGAAATATGAAAAGGGGGGGGCTATAAATTATATCACACAAAGACAAAATATATAATTTTAGTACGTATATATATTAATTATCATATATTTTAAAATAATAAAAAGACAATATTGAGTTAGATATTAAGATAAATAAGTTTATAAGTTCATTAGTCTTTTGACCAATCTTCAGTTTTCATTCTCCTTTGCTTCTGCCGAGAAAATCTATTAATGACATCGTCGATATCGATGGGTATTTCTTTATGTATGTGCAGTACTGCTAAACCATTTAGCCTATCTTCTGTCATAGAAGATCTCATGTAATTTTTCAGTCGTCTTAGGGAAGAAAATGACCTTTCAGCTGTTGCTGATGTTATTGTTATTGTTGCAAAAATTTGTAGTAATATTGTAATGTTTGGGTAAAATACCTTACAATGTACCAATGTTTCAACAGCAGTTTGGGGCTTTGGATTTTCTATGTTGGTCCATTTCGTCTTCCAGAGTTCTAATTCAGCTTGTATTTCCAAGTGAGAATTAGCTGGTATATCATCATCATATATTAATGCTGCTTTTAATATCTCTTCTGTTTTATACTTATGATTGTTAGCAGGGATCAATCCTTCTAATGGAATAATATCTTTGAACCTATCATTAAATCTTGAATTTAATTCTGTTATAAAATGGTCAATAAAAGGAATATAAATAGTAATTCTGAACCAATCTTCAGGATTTGACGTCTTAATATTATTTCTATTTGTTTGCCGACCACACAACCTAGGAATTTTTATTTCTTCTCCAATTTTCGATGCTACTTCAGATGCATTTTTAAAACAGATGGAAAATTCTTCATCACAATTATTTCTCTTCGCTTCAAATATTTGAATTACTTCTTTAACATGTGAGAATGCACTTGATAAATCTTGTTGAGGACTTTGTAGTTTAATACTTAAATCTTTAGTGTAAGAAAACAAATTTGCAACTATTTCTAAACTGATAAGAAAATCACTTCTTTTTATGGAAGAACTGAAGCTTACTGCTTTAGTTGATATTTCACGGTCAAAATCTTCTTCAATTATATCAAGAGCATTCACGATATATGGGAAAAGTTCACGAAAAGTAATAATTGAGTCATGACGCTCAACCCATCGAGTTGTACACATGGCTTTTAATTTTGTTTTTTTTGGCAATGACACTGAATCAGTATTTTCAATGACTGTTAACAATATATTGTTGCGTTTAGCAGAAGCAGATAAAAAAACTGAAACTGCGCCTACAATCCCAACCATGTTTCTTACAGTAGATAGTTCACAAACTTTTGATATGCACAGATTTAGGCCATGACTAAAACAATGTGTATAAACAGCCAAAGGTTGCTCTTCAAGAATTAGAGCTTGGACGCCATTAAACCGACCAGACATATTAGATCCTCCGTCGTATCCTTGTCCACGAACGTGGCCTAAGTTCAAACCAAAATTTTCCAATTGTTTTAAAATTTCATTTTTTATAGCTATTCCAGTAGTTGAACTTAATTCTAGAAAACCCAGGAATTCTTCTTTAATCTGTGATTGATCCATATCAACATACCTAGAAAAAAGGTACAAAATAAATATATAATATGAGTATATGACCGTAACTATAAGTTAAAACACACCTCACAGAAAATGACAGTTGTTCTTTAGTACTGACATCTGTGGTTTCATCGCAAATAATTGAAAAAAAAATATTTTTTTTTATGTTTTTAACAATGCTCTCAGTAATTACTTGATGCAATACATTAATTATTTCATTTTGTATTGTTTTGCTGATCATAGTTGCATTTTTACCACACGATTTAAAATGGTCTTTCAAAATGTTATCACCTGAGTCTAAGCGAAAGGCTAAAAGGCTTCTAAAAATTCCTTCTTTTCCTGTTATTGCTGATTCATAGTCAAGTATCCCATCGTCTCTGTGTCCTCTGAGAGATATATTGTTATGGCCACAAAATATTATAGTTTTTATAATTGATGTTAAACGTTTTCTATTGGCTTCCATTATTGA